TAGCCTGGGCTACAAAGTGAGCTCAATGCCAGTCTGAACTGCATAGCGAGACCCTGTCTCAAAAAGAAAAAAAGAAAAAAAAAAAATCACTCTTAGACCAGGGATATACCTCAGCAGCACAAGCACCTGCCTGGCAAGTACAAGGTCCTGAGTTTGATTCCCAGTAAAAAAAAAAAAAAAAAGAAAAAAAAGATAAATAAGATTTTTAAAAATCACTTTTTTCAATTCTTGTATAATATCCAAAGTATGGACAAACTACATTTTAATTATTCCCTTAAATTTGGAAACGTAGGCTGTTTTATTTATTTATTTATTTGGGTGGACAGAGTCACTATGTAGCCCAGGCTAGCCTCAAACTTGCAGCAATCCTCCTGCCTCAACTTCCTGAGTGCTGGCATTACAGGTATGTGCCACCATGCCAGGCTGTTTTCCATTTTTAAAAATTACAATGTTAAAAAAAATTACAGTGTTACAGAAACTTCTGTACAAACATTTCAGTACATGTAAGTAGTATACTTTTGAGCTATTTGAGAAAAGAAGTATATATATTTTATTTTTTATTTTTTTGTCTTTTTGAGACAAGGTCTTGCTATGCAATTTAGGCTGGCCTCAACCTTGCAACAATCCTCCTGCCTCAGCCTCTTGAGTGCTGGGATTACAGGTGTGTGCTACCACTTCCAGTTTTAAATTTTGATAACGTCAATTTTCCTTTCAAAATAGCCTTACAATCTGTATTTCTTTAAAAACTGACATTTTTAACACCTTTCACCCTTTACAAATAATTGAATACAAATTTCTTTTACTTGTAACAATTTGAACAAAAGGGTTTCATTTTAATTTACATTTGTCTGATCACTAGAGGTTAGTAGCTCTTCTATGAATTTCTTAATTTATATAATTTGTCCACCTTTTTCCACTGAGTTGTTTTGTTAACTGACCCATAGCAGCACCTTGTATTTTGGCTATTTTAGTAATTATACTGGAGGCAAATAATTTTCTCTACACTTCATACATAGTGGTTTTTCACAGAATACAGCTTATTTTTATGTAGGGATATTTTTTAATCATTAAAATTCAATAGACTAAATTTGTTGTTTGTTTTGTTTTGTTTTATTCTTGTTTTATTTTGTTTTGATACTGGGAATCGAACTTAGGACCTTGGGCTTGACAGGCAGTGCTTGTGCTGCTGAGCTATATCCCCAGCCCTATTCTTGTTTTCTGAGACAGAGTCTCATTTTGTAGTTCAGGCTGGCTTTGAACTCACTAAATAGCCCAGGCTGGCCTCGAACTCTCAGCAATCCTCCTGCCTCAGCATCCTGAGTGCTGGGATTACAGGCGTGCACCACCATACCCAGGTTCAGTAGAATTTTTTTCCCTCCCAGTGATGGGGATTGAACACAGGGCCTTGTACACGCTAGGCAAGTGGTCTACCACTGAGATACATCCCTAGTCCTTTTCGTTTTTGTTTTCACTTTGTTTTTTTTTCCGGTACCGGGAATCAAACTCACGACCTTGTGCTTGCCAGGCAGGCGCTGTGCCACTGAGCTAAATCCCCAGCCCCTTCACTTTGTTTTTATTTTGATACAGGATCTCACTAAATTGCCCAGGCTGTCCTCAACTTCTGGTCCTCCTACCTCAACCTTGCCAGGAGCTGGGATTACAGGCATGTGCCTCTTCCTATTTGTTGGCCTGTGGCTTTGTGTTACTGTTAAATTATTTGCCTTAAAATAAAATCATTTGCCTCGTCAATGAATAAAGAAATTCCACCTAGTCTTACAGACTATAGTGATACTGAGAAATGCAACTGTAGGTGAAACAAGAACCAATTTAAGGTTTGACTCAAATCTTAATGTTCTCAATTAGATATTAGGCAAACTACAGTATCTGCCACTTCTCCCGACATTCAAATGCTCTGGGGGGTCTGCCCTACCTATGCTCGCCAAATCTGACGCTTCTGTCACACACTTTTCTAACTTCTGCTAAAAGATCTTTTTTCAAAGTCCTGCTGGGCCTCTGAGCTAGGATATCTGCAATGGTTAAAAATCCATACACTTGCTGGATTCAACAGTCAAATGGAACAGGTGATTTGGGTAACTCCAGCAGGAATAGTTTTTATTTATTTATTCATTTTTTAGCTTGCTTTTTTAACTAAAAGAAGATTTAGTTCAGTGTTGACACTGAACAAGCGAAGTTAGGCACTTACTTAATTGTCCTGCTCAAAATAAGCCCTACACAGCTGCAGGAGTTTATTCTCTACAATACCGAATCTCAGCCTTTATTTTGCAAAAGGCCAAGAATTCAAAAATTACTTTGTTAGCTAGGCGTGGTGGCGCACGCCTGTAATCCCAGCACTCGGGGGGCTGAAGTAGGAGGACCCTTGTGAGTTTGAGACCAGCCTGGGCTACAAAGTGAGCTCAAGGCCAGCCTGAACTGCACAGCGACACTCTGTCTCAAAAAAAGACAAAAAACAAAAACAAAAAATTATTCTGTTAAATTATTAAATAACTAATCACAAGTTATTTAAAATATGCATATATGCTATATGAGAAGAGGATGCCACGTTTTTCAAAACTGTGTGACAGTCAAGTCCACCGTAGGCTAACGTACTTCACAGGGACTTACTGCGTGATTTTAAGGCGTGAAAACAGAAGGTGTCCTCTATCTATCTGTCTCTACCTGCATATCTTACAGAAAATCTCTAAACCATAAGCTTTAATAAAGTGAACATGTGATGCCAGGCGTGGTGGCATATGCCTATAATTCCAACACTTCAGAGGCTAAGGCAAAAGAATCACAAGTTCAGAACAAGACTGGGCTACTCAGTGAGTTTGAGGCCAGCCTCAACTACACAGTAAGACCTTGTTTCAAAAAAAAATAAAACAATGACAACAAAAAGAACATGTGAGCCAGGCATGGCGCTGCAGACCTGAATTCTAACATTCAGAAGGCCAAGGCAGAAGGATCCTGAGTTTGAGGTCAGACTCTGTTTAGTGAGTCCACCACCAGTCTGGGCTACAGAGCGAGGGCCTGTCTCAAAAAAACAAACAAAAAACCCCTAAACATGTGAATTATTAATCTTTTTTTAAAATTAATATGAGTTACGCTGGGCATGGTGGCGCACGCCCATAATCCCAGCAGGAGGATCGTTGCGAGTTCGGGACCAGCCCGGGCTACAAAGTGAGCTCAAGGCCAGCCTGAACTGCATAGCGAGACCCTGTCTCAAAAAGATCCAGAAAAACAAACAAAAAAAGAGTTAAGAACAGAACCAAGGGATTTGGGTTAGTAACAAAAGCCCTGCTGGGAGTGGTGGTCCACACCTGCCACCTGTACCCTAGCACTCTGGGAAGCTCACACAGGAGGACCACGAGCACAAACCCAGCCTGAGCAACTGAGCAACTCCTTGAGACTGTCTCAAAACAAAAAATTAAGAAAGAGCTGGAGGTTTGTACTCAGTGAAAGGCCCGGGTTCAATCACCTAGTACCACAGGGTGTGGAAAAAAAACAAACTCAGATTTCTAAAACGTTCAATGATACTGAAACATAGAATGTATATTAGTTTTAAATTCTGTCAGGCATCTTTCTTCATGGACATTTACTGAAATAATAAGTCAGTGTAGCTGGGCATGGTGGTGCACACCTATAATCCCTGCACTTGGGAGGCTGAGGCTGGAGGATCACCCTGAGTTCAAGGCCAGCCTGGGGCCTAAGCGACATAGTGAGTCCACGCCACCAGCCTGAACTACACAGGGAGTCTCTCTCTCGAAAAAAAGAAAAACAAGTCAACACACTTATATGTACGCAGTGATTATGCTGGGATGATTTTCAGCATCCTCATAAATGCAAATCTCAAATCTGAGACAACTTTCATTTTTCTCTGGCTATAATTTCTATATACACGGTAAGGAACTACACAGGAGATGAAAAAGTATGTAGTGAATCTTTGGACTATTATCCACTTCACAGAATACGAACTGACCTCAGAAGTGATTAGGAGCCGTGAAGGTTAGCCTCTCATTCAACGATAAATGGACTCGGTCTCAATTATTCTGATTACATCTGGATCTTCTAAAATGAAACTATTTTAAGATACGACATTTTACATCCAGTTCGGGTACACCAAGGTGCTTTGCCAACAAACAAACTTACAAAACTTACACTAGAATTTTGCAAAACTTAAAAAAAACCCACTGTATCATCAAATGAGAGAAACTTCCTAAGTGAATGGGACAGAACACACCATCCACTGAGAAATCAGGGTGGCAGAGATACGCACATAAAGCAGTACCAAACGTAATTTTGCATCTCCTAGAAGCAGGGGAGGGCCCAGCGCCTCGCCCTCCTGTAACACCGCCCACCTCACCGGACAGGAGGCGCGCAGAAGCCGCTCACGTGTCACCGACTGACATGAGGAGAATGGAGCCACCCCCCCCCTGACTGGCTAGACACAGCTAATTCCACGAAGGCCATTCTAACTGGATCAAGAGCCCCTATTTCCTAAAAAAATGAGGGTTTCGTGATTCCACGGTGAACCTAGGTGGTTTTGATATTTTACTGAGCTCTCTTCAGAAGATTGATTAAAAATATCTTTATAAGGACACAGAGAAACAGTCTCTGTAAAAAGAAACTGTGTCCTTATTCGCTAGCGACAGAAGTCATTCCTGTTTTAGGAAACAACAGATGTTCTGCAGAGAGCTGGCATACGCTACGACTTTCTAACGAACCGAACACTCTGGGGACTAAATACCAGTTTAATGGAATAACTGCATCTCCCGTGGGACGAAAACTCACCAGCTTGTCAAACATCGCATCGCAAAGAGCTACAAAAGGGCAAACACCTCACAAGGTCTCAGAGAATGGACACGCTGCACCGCCCTGAGCACTCACTCACTTTATAGTGACATTTTCAGTGAAGAGGAACTGTCTGCCTTCATGTCAAAAATGCTTAACTATGTTCTGCACTTTGTGGCAATGTTCTTTCAATGTAAAACTTAACACGAAGCTATTATTTAAGTCATTCATTTCTAATATGCCGGTTCAGAGAAAAGCATCTACATTTTTAGTACTTTTGCAAGAGTCACATTTCTAAAATTAAAAAGTGCAGAGACTTGTTTTAGCCTAAAAAATTCATTGCTTCTGAGTTGGTACATCACAATATGGCACATTTTCTACAAGAAGATCTTTCCTAGGGACCAATTCTAAAAGAAAAAGAGAGAATAAAATTATTAAAATTAGTTATATAACCATTCAATTAGAATTAAATGCAAATGTGCTTTCCCCCCTGAAATTCTTAACAGTAAAATTTCTTGTTTTCAGGTAAACATTGCAGTGACATTTCAATGGACATCTAAGATGGAATCCTTAATTCTTTTTTTTTTTTTTTGTATTTTTGAGGCAAGGTCTTGCTATGCAGTTCATGGCCGTCCATGAGCTCACCTTGTAGCCCAGGCTGGTGTCAAACTCGCAACGATCCTCCTGCCTCAGCCTCCCAAGTGCTGGGATTACAGGCGAACAGAAGAAACAAGGGAGGAGTGCAACCGGCCAGAATCCTTAATTCTACTTTGAATGGCCGAAGGAACCACTGAGCTAAAGCTTGCCCGGAATCCTTAATTCTAAATGGAGACATTTAATAGGATTCTCATCTCAGATTATATAAAAACATACAGGACCAATTTCTTCCTTTATTATTTATTTATTAAACATACCTAATTCAATCACTGATCACAATTCAGCTAAAACACATTCCGGCCATATGATTACCAAATACTGCTCACTAAAAACTGTCAGCTGGAAAATTTGCTTATACTACTTACTATAGGAAAAACGAGACTGCTCTTCTAATTTAGAGATTCCAAATTGAAAAGACAGTGGCTCCTTTCCTTTCTCTTTTGGCGCTGGGGATGGAACTCAGGACCTCATACGCAGGAACCATGAATTCCACCACTGAGCAAGGCCCCAGCCCGCAACAGCGGCTCTTCACTCAGGAAGCTCTGAGTAGTCACACCAACGGGACAGTGATACGGGGGCTTAGGGGCCCAAGCCAGGGAGCTAAATCTGCAACTGGGACAGCCTGGCACAGCGGATGACCCGGTCAGACACGCCCACAACGCCCTGCTGGGAAGCAATGCTACATAGGCGACTGTCGGCTACAAACCAGGCATCTCCCTGCAACCAAGACGCACCCCCGAGGTGGGCGGGCAGTTGTGAGAAGACACACGGTTTTTCCCTCTGAGCCTGGTGGTGCACCCGTCATCCCAGCACCCGGAGGCTGAGGTGGGAGGATCACTTCGAGTTTGCGGCCAGCCTCAACGACACAGCAAACCCCGTCTCAAATACCACAAGAAGTGACACACAGCAGACGGCTGCTTACAAAGGCCAAAGCCACACGACGAGGACATCAGAGAAGGCACTTGCCTGCATTCTTCAAAACACCACGCTCATGAAAGACAAAGAAGAGCTAAGGACTGTTCAGATAAAGACTAAAGAGACACGATGAAAATAAATCATACATACATACATACATACATACATACGTACGTACATACATAAAGAGACATGATGACTGCACCCAACGTGTGATCCTCACTACGATCCCAACCACAGGGAACAGTGTCGCTCTTCTGCTAAAAATTAGGTCATCCTTGCCAGGTGTGCGGCACCTGCTTGTAACCCCAATACCCTGGGAGGCCGAGGCAGGAGGACTGCAAGTTTACACTTAGCCTGGGCACCTTAGTGAGACCTTGTCTCAAAATAAAATAAGTGGGAATACAGTTCAGTGTGAACACCCTAGGTTCAACCCCTACTACTGAATGGGTTCGAGGGCACTGTTAGGACAAATGAAGAAAACGGTAATGCTGCATCAAAGTTAATGTCCTGTTCTTGATAATTATACTGAGGCACATTAGACAGTGTCCTTGTTTATGTAGGATCTATGCACTAAAGTATTAAAGAAATATACCCCACAGTATTCTCCAGAAGGCCTAAACCCAAGCAGGCTGTCGTGATTGTACAGATGGTCGTTTGGAGGTGAAGAGATGCTGTCTGAGGGGCTGGGGATTTAGCTCAGTGGCACAGCACCTGCCAGGCAAGTGCAAGGTTGTGAGTTCGATTCCCGGTACCGGAAAAAAACCAAAACGAACAAAAAAAAAAAACAAAACAAAACCAAACCAAGAGATGCTGCCTGCTCCACACTCCCAGGAACAGAAGAAACATGGGACGAATGCGAGGCAAACGTGGCTGACTGTGAGCATTACAGAACCTGGAGAGAGGGGCTCTCAAACCCTTCCACAGTGCGTGCACATTGCTGCCAACCCAAGCGATTTCAAAGTCAAAGTTTTTACTCTTTTTTTTTTGTCTTTTTGAGACAGGGTGTCGCTCTTCAGTTCAAGCTGGCCCTGAGCTCACTCTGTAGCCCAAGCTAGCCTCAAACTCACAATGATCCTTCTGCCTCAGCCTCCCGAATGCTGGGATTACAGGAGTGCGCCACCACGATCAGCAGAGTTTTTACTTCAAATCATTAAAATTCAATCCAGAAGAAAAACTGAAATTCTTACTTAATTAAAAAAAAAAGAATTGTTCTGGCTAAAAATAATGCTCTTATTAGATAGGGGATAAACTTGGCCTACAGAAATGAAAACCAGTTGAGTAAGAATATATTATTTAGCCGGGTGTGGTGGCGCACGCCTATAATCCCAGCACTCGGGAGACTGAGGCAGGATTGTTATGAGTTTGAGGCCAGCCTGGGTTACAAAGTGAGTTCAAGGGCAGCCTGAACTGCATAGTGAGACATTGTCTCAAAAACAGAAAGAAAGAAAGAAATTTAATTTTCTTGCGTTATTAAGAAATACAGAGCAAGGCTGTGCCAGGCTCGTGGAAGTCCTTGGCCACTGGGAACCAGGTCTCTTTCTCGCCTGTTCATGCATGGTCTTCCCTGCTGCTGTCAAACCTGTGCACGCCAGGCAGGGAGGGACAGGGGAAAAGGACAGTGCCAGATTAGCCCGTTCATTTTCCACAGGAAAACAACGGCTTTCGTGGAAGGGACACCAGAGGCGGCAAGCACAAAGGCCGAAGCCGCACTCCAGGCAGGCGCACCCACCCTCCTTCCCATTTACAGGGCGCTTCTCCTTACTGCCTGTGCCCGGAGAGCTCACCCAGACTCAGATCAATGGAACCTGGCTCACGTGCCGGTCTTTCTACTGGGCCCGTCTACAGCTTATGTGGTAGATAACTACCAGATTTCAATAAAAAATAAAGAGTAGAATAAAAAATTAAAATAGGGGTAGTGGCGCACACCTGTAATCCCAGCACTTGGGAGGCTGAGGCAGGTGGATCATTAAGAGTTCGAGACCAGCCTGGGCTACAAAGTGAGCTCAAGGCCAGCCTGAACTGCATAGCGAGACCCTGTCTCAAAAAGACAGAAAAAAAAAATGAGGAATGGGAAATACATGACAGTCACTGATCCATAGAAAATTCTAAATCACATGGACAGGAAGAGCAAGGACTCCTTGTTCTGTGGAAAGAATAATTTTCTAGCAGGCCACTCGGCAATGCCTAATTCTGATTTTGGGGAGACTCCAAGACCCCTCGGCCCTGTCCTTCGGAGCATCCTCCCTTTCTAGACAAGGAGACCCAGCGCTCCTTTGAGTCTCTGGATGCTTTTACAGTCACCTCTGGCTGTGGAGTTCAGGAGCCCAGGGATACGACGAGGCGGCTTGGAGCTTCTTGGTGTTGTAATATACTCCAAAGCTTGCTTATTTTCAAGTCTGTTTCCAGTTACTTTTGTGTGCAAGGAGCCCACAGGCAAAAATCTTGAGGACAGTTTTTTGTTTTGTTTTTGCTCTTTGAGACAGAGTTTCGCCACATAGCCCAGGCTGGACTTAAACTCACTACATAGCTCTGGCTCGCCTCCAATCCACGGCGATCCTCCTGCCTCAGCCTCTGGAGGGCATTACAAGTGTGCCCAGCACACTCAGGTGGATACAATATTCTTTAGTTGTTTATTTTATTTTTCTTTTTTTTGAGACAGGGCCTCACTATGCAATTCAGGCCGGCTTTGAACTCCCTTTGTAGCCCAGGCTGGCCTCAAATCCAGCGATCCTCCTGCCTCAGCCTCCTGAGTGCCGGGTTTGCAGGCAGGCGCCACCATGCCTGGCTAGGCTGACACAGTTTTTAAGGGTGAAGATTTTTGGTAACAGCCTCTGCGTTCTGCCCAACCCCCTAACCCTGGCCCTAGTTAAGGTCACTTCTTAAAGCAGTGAAGAGCAGTAAGCTCCCCTGGGTAATGCATCTCACGCCCACTGTGTCCGGCACAGCGAGTCTCGGGGGCGCTGAGCGATCTGTGAGATGTTAGCGCTCAGAAGCCTCTTGCTCGTATTTTAGTTTCAGTGGATAGGAGCACTTGGAGTTTTCAACTCTGCGAGACTCTAAATCATGGGGTTCCCAATCAATTAGACCTCAGGCTGAACGCAGAACAGTGTCCCTTAAAAAGTAACAGCTCGTTCAGTCTCCGCCTTGCAGATGACCGGCGTAACCTGCGCTCGCTGTCCTTCTCAGCGCCTCGTTAAACCAGGAAGAACCAGCCACGCACCCTGGAACTCTGGAAGCCCCGCAGTACTTGTCTGTGTCCTAAGAAACAGTAAGAGGCGCGGAGCTTGCGCTCTGCCACTGTCAGGGCCAGCAGAGGACGCCTGCGCGGTCGGGGCCTGGTGACCCCGCCCCTCCCTTCAGCTAAGCGCACGTTTTACACCGTTAACCTTTCGGGGCTCACTTCTTACCAGGCTCTACTGGTTTAGTCACAAGTAACAGCAGGGACTCTGGCGGATGGAGCAGAGAAGGCATCTATTAACGGGTTACTGCCCTAATTTAATGGAATTATTGCGATGGCTAAAGAACCCGGCAGGCTGGAGACTAAGTTTCCGGGAACAATGACCGAAGCCACACCGGACGGCTGGTCCCACAGTCCTAACAGCCGCCCTCTCGGAGGCAAGGAGAACCTGCCCCCGTTTCTTACTCCTGACGCTACACTTCAGGTGCTGCCAGAAACCGAGCTCTGCCCTGCAGCCACACGCCCCTGCCCGCGACGCCGCTCCGCCCCACAGGCGGCTCCACGCGAGCCCAGGCGGCTCCACGCGAGCCCCGGCCCTCGCGTTCATTTCTCAGTACAGTGAGAGCCGCACTGTACCACAGGCACGCGGCTGAG